CCCCCCTGCGAAACGTTTCTCGCTCCTACCTCGCTCTTTCCATCACCTGGGCCGACACGGGAACAGAAAGAACGCTTCAGCAACCTGCCCGGGATGGCTCATGGCAGCCTTCGCTCTTGGGAGCCTTGGTGGTAAGAGCTTGTTGCGTCACCGCTCGTTCTTGATAGCCTTGCTGGTAAACGCATGTTATTTAAAGGCTGCCGCCTCTGCCGCAGACCCCAAGGATGGCTTGGTGTGAGCCGGCCCAGGGTGCCTTCGGGGCCGTGTCGTGGTTGGTGTACGGATCTGGGCGCGAAATTGCAGGGTGGATGGGGCCCAAGGACACAGTTCCCAGGGCGGTGTGCGGAGGTCAGGCGAGATGGCTAGAATAGGGTCGGATCAGGGCGGGAAATTGTAGGGTGGAAGGGGCCCACGAACACAGCACCCAGGACGGTGCGGAGGTCAGACGAGGTGGCTAGAACAAGGTCGGACCTGGGCCGGAAATTGTAGGGTGAAAGGGGCCCAGGAACATAGCTTCCAGGACGGTGCGGAGGTCGGGCGAGGTGGAGGGCGGTGCGTAGGTCAGACGAGGTGGCTACAACAGGGTCGGATCTGGGCGGGAAGTCGTAGGGTGGAGAATCCCAAGAACAGGATGGAAGGGGCCCAGGAGCGCAGCTCCCCAGGCGGTGCGGAGGTCAGACCAGGTGGCTAGAACAGGACCGAACAACGGCTGGCAATTGTAAAGTGGATGGGGTCCAAAAACGTAACTCCCGAGAGCGGTGCGGAGGTCGGGCGAGGTGGCTAGGACAGTGCCGGAAGTAGGCGGGAACTTGTAAGGTGGGGGGGCCCGAGAACATTGCTCCCAGGACGGTGCGGGGGTCAGACGAGGTGGCTAGAACTGGGTTGGATCTGGGCGGGAAATTGCAGGGTGGTGGAGCGGCCCAAGAACACAGCTCCCAGGGCGGTGCCGAGGTCAGGCGAGGTAGCTAGAGCAGGGTCGGATCTTGGCGGGAAATTGTAGGGTGGATGGGGCCCGAGAAGACAGCTCCCAGGACCGTGAGGGGGTCAGGCGAGGTGTCTAGAACAGAGTCGGATCTAGGCGCGAAATTGTATGGTGGATGGGGCTCGAGAAAGCAGTTCCCAGGGCGGTGCGGAGGCCAGGCGAGGTGGCTAGAACAGGGTCGGATCAAATTGTAGGGTGGAGTCCCAGGGCGGTGCGTAGGTCAGACGAGGTAGCTGGAACAGGGTTGGATTTGGGCAGGAAATTGCAGGGTGGGTGGGGCCCAAGAACACAGCTCCCAGGACGGTGCGGAGGTCCGACGAGGTGGCTAGAAGAGGGTCGGATCTGGGCGGGGAGTTGTAGGGTGGATGCGGCCCAGGAACAGAGCTCCCAGGACGGTGCGGAGGTCAGGCGAGGTGGCTAGAACAGGGTCGGATCTGGGCGGTAAATTGCAGGGTGAGTGGGGGCCGGGAACGCAGCTCCCAGGACGGTGCGGAGGTCAGGCGAGGTGGTTAGAATCTGCGCGAAAGAAGTGGGCACGGTAAGAATGAGTATGATGCCAAACAGCAGTTCCCATTCATTGTGAACAGGACTCGCTGTCCGCGCCGCCGCGGCCTGTGTCCATTTGAGACAGGAGGTCGCCTGCCCAACAGCGGCCGCTGTTAGTTTGGGACAACATTTCCTACCTAGGCTCTGCCTAGAAGGGTTCTTACTCCCTGTGGGGCCCGCCCCGGGCGGTTCCCCCAGTATCCGCCCCGCGATTCCCCCCAGTTAACTACGTCCCCTTAGCTTAGCGTTGCTTATCTCATCTTAGCTGAGCTTATTTCGTCTTAGCTTAGCTTAGCTTAGCTTAGCTTCATCTTAACTCAGGTTTATCTTAATTTAGCATACCTTCATCTTAGCTTCGCTGAGCTTCAGCGTAGCAGAGCACAGCATAACATAGCATAGCGTAGCATTAGCATGGGTGTAATTCCCTACCTAGGCTCTGCCTAGAGGGCTAGCTTAGCTTAGCTTAGCTTAGCTTAGCATAGCATAACATAGCGCATCGCTGCATTATCATATCATATCATAACATAACATCGCCACTCATCACAAATCATAGCTTAACATATCATATCATAGCACATCATATCATATCATATCACATCATATCATATCACAGCGCAGCTGAACATATCATATCATTCCATAGCGTATCATATCATATCATCGCATATCTTAACATACCACAGCGCAGCTTTACATATCATAGCTTCGTATACCATAGCACATCATCGTATATCATAGCATAGCGCAGCATATCATAGTATAACATAGCATAGCATAGCGCAGCATATCATGGTGTATCATAGCATAGCACAACATAGCAACTAATGCTGATTTCCTAGGGGCTCCAAGTTCTAGGTCGTGTCGCACTGGGGTAGTTTGTTGTTGGGCATTGTGCCCATTTCTCCCGTGCTTTTCGGGCGTCCAAAGAACAGGGTCGGATCAGGGCGAGGAATTGTAGGGTGGAGGTGCCCGAGAACGCAGCTCCCAGGACGGCGCGGAGGTCAGGCGAGGCGGTTAGATGAGGGTCGGATCTGGGCGGGAAATTGTAGGGCGGAGCGGCCTGAGAACACGGCTCCCAGGACGGTGCCGAGGTCAGGCGAGGTAGCTAGAAGAGGGTCGGTTCTGGGCGGGAAGTCGCAGGGTGGATGGGGCCCTAGAAGACAGCTCCCAGGACGGTGCGGAGGTCAGGCGAGGCGGCTAGAACAGGGTCGGATCTTTGTGGGGAATTGCAGGGTGGCTGGGGCCCAGGGGCACAGCTTCCAGGACCGTGCAAAGGTCAGGCGAGGTGTCGGGAACCGAGTCGGCTCTGGGCGGGAAGTTATAGGTTGGGGGGGGGGGCTTAAGAACACAGCTTCCAGGTGTCGGATCTGGGCGGGGAATTGTAGGGTGGATGGGGCCCGAGGGCGCAGCTCCCAGTGGGCGGGGAATTGTAGGGTGCATGGGGCCCAGGATCCGGACAGAGCCCCCAGGGCTGTGCGGAGGTCAGACGTGGTGTCGGGAACATAATCGGATCTGAGCTGGAAGGTATTGGTGTGGGTGGGGTGGGGGGCTTTAAGAACGTGGCTCTCAGGACGGTGCGGAGGTTAGACGAGGTGGCTAGAACAGGGTCGGATCTGGGCGCGAAGTCCTAGTGTGGAGAGGCCCGAGAACACGGCGCCCAGGACGGTGCGGAGGTCAGACGAGGTGGCTAGAACAGGGTCGGATCTGGGCGCGGAATTGTAGGGTGGATGGAGCCCAAGAACACAGCTACCGTGGCGGTGCGGAGGTCAGACGAGGTGGCAGGGCCGAACGGCGGCAGGCCATTGTAAAGTGGATGGGGCCCAAGAACATAGTTCCAAGGGCGGTGCGGAGGTCAGCCGATGTGGCTAGAACAGGGTCGGGTCTGGGTGGGAGGTTGTAGGGTGGAGCGGCCCCATGGTGGTCCGTGCGCGGTGGACGTGAACGACGGCACTCCTCGTCTCTCTCTCTCTCTCTCTCGCTCTCCCCTGTGCCGTTTCACTTCGCTGGCTGCCTCCTGCCGTGCATTCCTGCTGTCAGCATCACTGGGCACTGGGGAGGTTTCACCGCCAAGCCGCAGCGAGGCATGTGGTGTGGATTCCAGACCTCATGCAGCTATTCCCTCGCGCTGGGGCGTGGCTCGGGGTCGCTCCCCGCGCTGGGGACATTTGCAAGCCATAGTCGCGAATGCGCCGCCGTTGCCGCTGCGCCGAGCCGTGCCACAGACGGCGGGCGCCTTCGACTTGGCTGCATTTAGCTCCCTTTTGGTGTGGCTCTCAGGGCCACAGCATCCCGCGGCGCCCGTGGAGTCGGGACCCCTCGTCCGATGTGCGCTGTCTCTTCCTCCTGCACCACGTCCTCTCTCCTCATCCATCCTTTTTCCTTGTGAAAGAGTCCTCGTCGCCACGACAGACGTGTCGGTATGGCGGACCGGGCGTTTCGTCGCTTGGGATGTCTTTGCATTTCTGATATTGATGGTGGCATCTCGATCAGTGACGCGGCAGGGGTCCATGTGGTTTTCAAGATGTGGCTCTCGCCTTGGCGCCTCGCACAGCAGTCTTAACACGTTCCCTCAGATGTACAGGGTATGGATGGCGTGCCGTTTCCCAAATGTGGCTTTCGCTTAGGTGCCGCGCACCACCGTCTCAAACGATTCCAGTACGGATGTGGCGCCGTTTTCACATGTGGTTGTCGCATCAGAGCCGCGCACAATCGTCCCTCTCCCTCCTCCTCAAGGTTGATGGTCACAATCATATTATATAGTTTGAGCAGCCAGTTTACCTTCTTAGCGAGATGGGCGAGCAGCACCGTCAGCCCAAAGTGCGGGCCACTCCCCTCGACCAGTGGTGGCACGCAGACGTGCTCATCGGCGGAGGTGCAGTCTTTGCCTGTGCTGCTGGGGCCTCGCTGTAAGTGGGGTGATCATGGATTGGCTGGTATGGGGCACACATTCCTTTCCCTTCTCCTTCCTCGCCCCTCCTTCCTCGCTCCTCCCTCCTGCCCTCCTCCCTCCCTCCTCGCCCATCTTTCTCCTCCCTCTCCCGCTCCTCCTCCCTTCCCCCCTCCCTCCCCCCTCATCATCTTCCTCCCTCCTCCCTGCTCCGTTCTCCCAGTCCTCTCTGCTCCCACCTCCCTCCTCCCTCCCCTTGACCAGCCACCTGTTGAATCATATGCGCATTCCAATCATCATCCCCCTCGTCTTCCTCCCTCGTCCACTTCCTCCCTCCTCCCTTCCCCCTCCTCCTCCTCCTCCTCCTCGTCCTCCTCCTCCTCTCCTCCTCCTCCTCCTCCTCCTCCTCCTCCTCTCCTCCTTCCTCCTCCTCCTCCTCCTCCTCCTCCCTCCTCCCTCCTCCCTCCTCCCTCCTCCCTCCTCCCTCCTCCCTCCTCCCTCCCCTCCTCCTCCTCCCTCCTCCCTCCTCCCTCCTCCTCCCTCCTCCCTCCTCCCTCCTCCCTCCTTCCCCTCTCGGGCGTGGAGGTGCAGGACCTGGCCAAGAACATGTGCCTGGGCTCGCGCAGGCCCGTTCGGCTCCGAGTGGGCCAGTCGAACGAGAGCGGCGCGACGTCCAGGGAGGACATTGTCCAGGCGTGCTCCTCCTTCTCCTCCTCGGCCTCCTGCCTGCCTGCCCGCCTGCCTCCCCCCGTCCGCCTCCCTGCTCCCACCTCCCCCCCTCGTCCCCCTCCCCGTCGCCGCTGCCCTCCTGCTGCTCCCTCCCGCTGCTGCGGCCGTCAGAGGCCGAACCCGAGGAAACACTCCGCGACAGAAGGAGCACGGCCAGACCGAGGCATCAGATCGAGGTCTGTTCGGTGAGGGCACTTTGATGCTCTTCGTGCTTGTCTGATGCTGTTGTGCATCCTGGGGGAGGGCACGTACCCTCGAATATTCTTCGGATTGGCCAGCGGAGGGTCTCGTGCTGTTGAAGGATGTTCCACTGTCCCAGGTTTGGCCGTCCTGTCGTCGGAGGTGTGGGTCCTCCTCCTTCAGCCGCATTCCTACTTCAAGAGTCGAGCGTTTTCCCTCTTCCCCCCCTTCAGGTGGCGGGCGGAAGCCCAACCTACTTCCAACGCATTCCTACTTCATGCTTCTGCCTGCCTCCTCCGACCGACGGGTATAGAACATCGTCGGAGGTGTGGGCCTCCCCACCCCTCCTCCTCCACCTCCGCCCCTTGCCAGGGCTGCGGGTTGTGCTGCTCGACCTGGGAGGTGTCTGGGAGGAGCGGGGACCCTGCTCCTCCCGGGCCAGCGGCCCCCGGGGGGGGGCTCTGGTCGTCGTGGCCCCCTCTCAACCCACATGGGACCCATCGGCCTCGACTCGGCGGCGAGCGAGGGAGGGGAAGTGAGCAGGAGAAGGCCTTCTCAGAAGTCGGCGGGGCTTCTCAGAGGTTTTCTGGATCTTGGGAGAACTCAGGGCCAAGAGAGGGAAGCTGGCCCAGCGAGAGGTGATCATGGCCAGGCAGATTTACATCCTTCCTGTCCCTGAGCGCGGAGAGCCGAAGTTGGAGCAAATGATGGCTAGGACGACCCAGAACCTGGCAACGGGTGAGTATTTCGAACAAGAGGTAGTGACCGTGGAACGCAGAAGGATTCGGCGAACCCAGGCGTTAACCCGGCACGTTGGTGGAAGATGGGAGTCCACGCGCGGGAGACGGCGACTGCCTAATTCAAGGCATAAGGAAAAGGCTTCTATGGCCCTGCTGATCAGGAGCCTAATATTGACCTCCTGCGTGAAATAGGTATCGACTCGCCGAGGCCGCCAGCGCGGTGTGTGATGTCCGCGGCAGGGGGAAGCCTTCGTTCGACCGCGTCGCCCGGCATCTGCGGTGCGGGCGGCTTCGGGAAGATGCGCAAAGAAGCCTGGGATCTCGATGGAGAGGCAAGTGCCGACTACAAGAACCGCGACGGGGTCTGTGACGCCGGGACGGACCATAGCTCGTTGACCGATAACGAGGCGGCTAGGGATCGCGTGGGCTCGACCTGCGCGGCAGCGGTCGGAAGACGCTGCGTTCCTCGAATGCCCCCTTACGGGCGCAAGATGCGAGTGGCTTCGAACATCGGGAGAAGGGACCCGGACTGCACCCGTGTTATAACCCTTTCAGTTACCGGGCAGATCGATGTGCATCGTCTAATCCATTCGCACCTCCGCCCAGATGGCTTGCAGATATGTCGGCCGTGGCGTGTGTCGCCAGACCTGTCGCGAAGGCCGAAGCGGCGTACAACGTTGACGCTACTGCTGTGCTGAAGAAAGACTGGAACCGACTGCGTGTTATTAACATGGGGGAGGAGGACAAGGGAATGGAATTGAGCGAAGTACGAAGGAACATGGAGGGTCAGACGTTCAATATCGGGCGGTTCTTCGCCATCCTAGTCGAAAAGAACGCTCTCCTGGACGGCCATAAAGATGTGAAATTCATTGGACGCGTTTTTTCGTCGGCTCAGATGCCATCGATCAGGACAAACAAAGTAGCACTGTTTCAAGAACTGTCCTCCCGTCATGCCACCGTGCAGGCGAGTGAGGCCGCTGACACTTTTGGACTATTCCCCGGGCCGACGCTCGACAGGCATGTACTCATTCCGTACTCGGGAGGAACGCCCCTCTGGGTGATATTGCCCAAGCAAGCCTGGCCGGACAGCTGGGCCAGGATGCATGGCCCGGTGTGTCCGTTGCGAGCCGTCTCTTTCTTCCTCATCATCACCTTTCTCGTTGTCCTCGTCCATACCATCAGCGTCATCGTCATCTTCCTAAGGGTTCCCATAGGCTCCGAGAGATTCCATCTAATCCCAAGGATTCTATATAATCCTAAGGATTCCATCGAATCCGGAGGATTCCGCGGCATTCCATCGAATCCCAAGAATTCCCGTAGGTCCGTTGGGATTCTTAAGGATCCCTGAGAGGTCCCCGAAGATTCTTGGGATTTCCAGAGGATTCCTGGGGAGTTCTGGGGATTCCTGAGGATTCCTTACGATTCCTTCAGATTCCGGAGGATCCCAAAAGATTCTTGACGATTGATGCTGACTCCAAAAGGTTGTTTCCTGAACGATCCTTTCAAGATTCTTCAAGATTTCTGTGAAGCCTCCAAACAGATGTTTGAAGATTCCCGAAGGCCCCCGAGGATTCCGGAGGAATCCCGCAGACCCCAAGAGGCGCCCGAGGATTCCCGACCCCGAGGACTCGGGAGGATGCCTGAGGCTTTCCGATAAATATTACAGCTTTGGTTCCCGAGGTTTCTTGAAGATTCACGAGGGTCACCGATGATTCTTCAAGATTTTTGAAAAATCCGAAGGGTCCTTGCAGATTTTTGGGTTCCCGAGGATGTCAAATGGTTCAGGACCCCTTGGGATTCCAACGGGTTCTTGCACATTCCAAAGGATCCCTGGGGATTCTTGAGAACTCCATGAAAGGATTCTTATGGATTTTCGAAAACCTGTAAGACTTCTGGCAGATTCCTGCGGGTTCCCCGCGGTGGCGGCCAGAATCTAGGTTTTCGCAGAGAAGAGCGGGGGGTGTTACCCAAAGGATCCCTTGGGAATCTTTCGGCACCGTAGGATAGGAAGTCATCAGGAATACGATAATATCACAATTCAATAACAAATGCAATCGGAAAACAATGTGACACGAGTAGGACAACATTAGGACGTCAATACAGCAGGAGTACACTAGGAATCCACAACCTGAACAAGCGCGGGCTCCCGCAAAACATCGGAATTCGATCGTCATCAAATACACAGGAGGCTGACGTGTGAGTCGTTCGTTTTCGTTTTATTCTCCCCAATACACCTACTAAACAGGCAGTATACAGGAAGAGTGCACAAAGGTGACGTTTGGCGATACACGAAACCGACGTGTGACCTTACCATTTCTATTACTACTACTTCTACTGCTACTACTGCTACTACTACTAGTACCACTACTACTACTACTACTACTACTACTACTACTACTATTACTACTACTACTACTACTACTACTACTACTACTGCTACTGCTACTGCTACTGCTACTGCTACTACTACTGCTATTACTATTACTAGTACCACTACTACTACTACTACTACTACTACTGCTACTACCATCACTACTACTATTACCACTGCTACTACGACTACGATCATTATTCTTATTTGCATTATTTTCTATTACTACTACTATTGTACTACTACTGTACTACTAGCAGTACTACGACTACTACTACGACTACTACTACTGCGACTACTGCTACTACTGCTACTACCACTGCGACTTCCTCTTGTCTACCACTACCGACATACCCACCTATTATTATTATTATTAACAGTCCTACTACCACTACTACCACTACTGCTACTACTTCTACTACTTCTACTACTACTACTACTACTACTACTGCTACTACTACTACCACTACTACTGCTACTACTACTACTACTACCATGATTACCTCTACTACTGCTGCTACTGCTGCTATTATTACTATTGCTTCGGCTACTAGTCGTACTACTACCCCGTCGGTTATTACACATGTTATGCTTACTACTGCTATCACGATTACTACTGCTACTTTTACTGCCACTCCTAGTCTTAGTATGACCACTACTGCGACTACTACGTCTCCACCTATTACGACTTTTACCATTATTATTGCTACTACTGCTACTACTACTACTTCTTCTTCTATCATCAGGCATACCACTACCACTACCACTACCACTACCACTACCACTACCACTACCACTACCACTACCACTACCACTACCACTACCACTACCACTACCACTACCACTACCAGTACCACTACCACTACCACTACCACTACCACTACCACCACCACCACTACTACCACCACTACTACCACTACTACCACCACCACCACCACCACTACTACTACTACTACTACTACTACTACTACTTCTACTACTACTACTACTACTACTACTACTACCACCAGTACTACTACTACTATTACTACTACTACTACTACAACGATTACTACTGCTACAACAAGCAGCAACCAAGGACTTTCATTAGTATGAGTACTTTTATTGCCACGACTGCTGTTACTATTAGTTTTACTGCTACCAGTAATACTACTACTTACTACTACTACTGCTGCTGCTGCTACTACTACTACTAATTCTAGTAGTAGTAGTAGTAGTAGTAGTAGTAGTAGTAGTAGTAGTAGTAGTAGTAGTACTACTACTAGTACTACTACTACTACTCCTACGACTACTACGACTACTACGACTACTACTACTATTTCTACTTCTTCTACTACTGCTACTACATGTGCTACTACTTTTGCTACCACTGCTACTGGTACTGCTACTGCCATCGCTACTGCTACCGCCAACAATACCACAACGACTACGATTACTATTTCCACTACTACAACTTCTCTTTACTGTTTCTACTACCTGCTACTACTACTTCTACTTCTACTACTACTACTACTACTACTACTACTACTACTACTACTACTACTACTAGTACGACTATTTCTGCTATTACTACTGCTGCTACAACCATTGCTACTACCACTATCTTTCCCTACCTAGGCTCTGCCTAGAAGGGTTCTTACTCTGTTGGCTTAAAGGGGCCGGGCAGTGGAAAC